TAATTAATTCAAAAAAATATTTTAATTTTTATATTTCTAATTTAATTTAGGGTATAAGGTATATTATGTTGTAATGTTACAAACATAGTATTATGTACTGTACGATAATTTACTAGCAATAAAAATCAAAATGTAACATTATTGCATTTTGATTGAAAAAATATTTTTATTCATTGTTATGATTATGTTAAAGTTTAGTGTACATCAGCTTCATAATATAAAATGTCCATGACGTATTATTTAACAAGTATAATATACAAACTTTTTAAAGTTATATTAATTGTTTAATATGCTTTATGTACACTCACGTGCAAACACACTTTATACTATGTTATACATTTAATAAAGACTATGTATTTTACTTATTTTTTAAATATTACAATTATACTGTATGTCCTATTTAAACTGTTTCAGAATTTCTAATACTTAGCTATTTTAACTTCCGTAATGTCGCTAAAAATATTAAATGTTTCTTTGCCTATTTTACATTTTATATTAAATATTCAGAAAAAGTAGAAAGAGAATAAAAATTTGTATTCAAATTTATTTAGATTTATACGAATTATTGATATAACATGAATGTTATGTGTAAATCGTTAAAAAATTAAAGATAACACTTAATTTATGTAATTAGTATTATCTAATTAAAAAATATATGCAATATGTAGCAAACACTACCCAGTGGCTAGCAAATCCAAGTTGTGACCACTTTTCAATGGTATGAATGTAGCTGTACCCTGTTTCTTGTAATTCAGATGTATCAAACATAAGGCCTAAATAAGCTAGATGAAAAATTGATAGTCCAGAAAACATCATATTTGTTAAGAACACCCACCAAGAATTGTGAGTGTTATATGCATGTGTACATTTATTTTTAGTACATTGTTTTGATGCGATACACGCATCGAAAATGTTTGCAAGCATAAATCTTAATTGAAATTCTACAAAAGTATAAAATCCGAGGCTCAGCAAAACTGCAGCCAATTGAAAGTTTAATCCATGTAAAAGGGCACTTGTTAAGTATGTCATTGTTACAGCTCCAAATTTTCCTAAGTATTTAATATTGGGACGGAATATATCTAAAAGTTTATACACAGATATTTAATATTTAATATCTTGAAAATGATTAATGATGATATTTAAATATATATGAATGAGTTTAAATGAAAATACATACATGTCTTTAGCCAAAAATGCATTGGTATATTCCAACAAATAACAACATGTACAAGTGAACGTGGAAATTCTATTTTGAATGGTTTTACTATAGCACTTAATGCAAATGGAAATCCTCCCAGTAATAATAAAGTGGAAGCAATGTAAGAAATAAAATAATGAGACATTCTAAAAGATAATGCATCTCTATAAGCCAATAACCACCTAAAATAAGGAAAAGAAATTAGTACTTGTTATAAAGAACAAGATAAAATAAAACTATAATAATATTTACTAACTTCCAAGAATTATCCATGATCATCCACTGTGTCCAACAGTTTGAAATAGTCAAAAAAAGAAAAGATATAAGTGCATATTGAATAGCATACAATATCCACCACTTATCCTAGTATTAAGTAATGTTATTAATGTCAATTTTTTAATTATATTTGTAATAAAAATATGAATTATGATGATAATTTTGTATACCTGGTTACTTATGTAACGTATTGATATGTAATCCTTAAATGACATCCATGGACCAAAAAGGCATGTGACACCACAAAACGTGTATCCCATATATGTATAAATGCTGGGTAAATCATTTTTATCAATTTTATCTATTGCTATACTAATTGTTTTCATTGCCATAGTCATTACCACACTTCGTATTTTATGCCATATTATAGGTGGCATGGAAAATTCACTGAAAATTAAAGACTGTAGAAAAAAATGGCTATATATATTTTGTTTTTAAAGAAGTTATTTTTGGTTGTATAACATACCAATATGCAATAATAAAAAGTGATGGTAAAAATATTCCTAAGCTTTTGCAATATGTTTTAGGTATGTATAAAGTGATATATGAAATTATGCAAAGTATTAGTAATGTATATAAACATTCTGCTACATAATAATGAATATTATATATACCAATCAACATTGACAGTATATGAAAGGTTTTATGTGATACATGTTCTGTAATATTAAATTAAAAATCAAACGTTTAATTATGTATTTTATTGCTATGTTTATATATTTATTTATAAAAATATATCTTACGAGAACGAGCGCACAATCTAAATAAAACTGTAGTAATAAACAGTGGTAGTATATATGAAAATGTATCATAAACAGTTGGACCAAGGCAATATTGATATAATTCAAGCAACGTTTCTCTTTCCACATCTTCGTATTCAAATTCATATTCCGCATCTTGTAAATATTCGTGTCCCATAAAATCACCGTCATCATCGTAAAAAACTGGAGCTTCTACATCGTCCATCACAGTAGAAATCAAATTGCCGGTGTTTTCACTGTCATAGCGGTTTAACGCAAATCATGATGCCAACAGTCTGTTTATTTTAACCATAAAACCAAAAATTATATATTATTTTAAAAACCATGCACGAATAAGAAAATAAAACTAAATTAATCTTTATTGCGAGCTTTCAAATTTATCGTAAGACCACAAGTGTAAACATTCAAATTTACCTCACGTAAACAATAACCTCGAATTGTATCTAGCATTATATTTTACTTAACTTTATCATTATTATTTGAATTTGTGTGTTAACGTAAAGAATCATTATCCCAAAAATTACAATAGTTCTTACTGTAAAGTGAAAAATAATTTATTCAGTAATAATATATAACATTGTAAGTACATTAAAGTGTTGAAAACATGGCATGTTATTATACTTAAGATATTTAAATATGTAAATATAGAAATGGCTACATATTATGTTTATAATTTATTTATTTTATTTACATCATATGCATTGGTGCATACATTTAAAATAACAATTAGTAGTAAATACTTCAACATTTAATAGTAAAAATGAAATGTATGGAAATGTTAACCTTAAAAGTCAATTATATACATTGTAAAATGAAAAATGTAGTTTGCTTCTTTTAAATTTACAAGTTTTATACATTGTTTTACAAATTTTCTTTTTTTGTAATTTTGAAGAAGTAATACTTCAACTTCTTTCTTGAAGCTACTACTACAACTTCAAGATTTTGTAGTAGGTATAGAACTAGTCTCAGGTAATAATCCTAAAGTTTGCAGGCAAATCTGTGCTGCTTCTGCTTTAGCTTGCTTTTTGTTAGGACTTGCCACACTTGGCTTATACTCAATTCCATTTACTTTAACCTGAAGTATTATATTAAATGTAAATAATATATGCAATTTAAAAACATAGTAATATACAATATAAACTAGTAAAATCGCATACTTTAAAAAGGAAATTTTTTCTGTGGTCTGGTCCACATTCAAAGCACAGTTCATAGACTGGTGCACCAAGCTTCCGCTTTGAACAATATTCACCCAACAATGATACTGGATGCTTTCCTGTAATACATAGATTTAAAGTGACTCATATTATATCAAGTTGCTAAATCAAGAAAATTTTCACTAGAATATACCTTCTAAAGTTTTAATTGCTGGTACTAGTGGCTTTGTAGCTTTTCCTACTTTTTGTCCAACATCTTGTTCTGAAACGAGGCCTCGTTTATCCAATTTTACTTCAAGCTGCAAGGGCTCAAGAGTACCTTCTTTATTTTTTCCCAAACCCTCCCCTGGTCGCCAACCCATCTTCTGTAGTAAAGCCATACCCATCCCACCCGAAACAGGCTGTGCTGATACTAATTGATCCTAAATAGTTTATTAGATTAAAACATAATGAATTTTATAATGTTAATGAAATTAAAAAATTAAAATAACAGCAATATATGATAAAAAATAATAAAATAATGTAATTATTCTATGTCCAATCATCATATCCCAACATAATAATTGATTGTATAAAGTTCTAATATTTTGGGGGTGAATATACTTACCAAGAAAATCATAAATTTGACATCACGCCGCTGAAGTTGTTTCTTCTCTGACGTAGCTACGTGCCTGTAACAAACCCTCAGGTGGATGCAGACTAATGCTAAATATCCCAGCTTTATAAACAAAAGATACAGTAACTCCTGATGAAATCCTATGATAGGAAGCTGATGATAATTAGCAATAATCTCACAAGAGCCCATTATATAAATGAATTTTGTGTGATCAATGTTTTTAAGTATCTACCTTTTTCTATTAACGTGTTTTAAATATAATATACTCCTAGAATTTATTCATCTCTATTAAATATAATAATGAAATGTATACTTTAACAACATAACACAAAAATGTATAAAATAATGGCGCTCCTGTGTCCATGCAGACACAGAATCTACTTCTGCAAAAGAAATAGTCTGTGCCTACATCAGTTTCCATCAGATCTGCTATAAGAAGTATAGCTTCAATCTTGATAGAGACTGTACCTGAAAACTTGTTACAGGCAATATCAGTATCGGGCAATATATTGTTTAAAAAAAGAAGAAAACAAAGTATGAAATTGCAATATATATAGAACACATAAGTGTTAAT